CGTCAGGGAGCCCATGCCCGTGCCGGCTTCGAACACCTCAAACGGAGCGCCCGCGTCGGCGACAGGGTCTTCCCCCGGCGCCGGAAGGTCAATGTCGAGGAGCGAGACGATCATGGACGAGTCATGCGGGTATATCTTGGTTCCCCGTGTCAGGTCGGTGTATATCTTCCCCAGTGGGAAGGGGGGGGAATTCTCCGGGGAGCCATACCGGTGTCGCCATCCGCGGGATGTTGGTCACATATTGCGCCAGCGTCACTTCCGACAGGCGCATATTGTTGCCCTTGCTGTCTTGGATCGTACACGGCAGCGTCCTGCCGATGAGGTCCGACCCGTTCACGCGCACACCCCACGCCGCCTTGAATGTCGTGTCCGATCGGATCGGCGGTGTGACCTGGCGCTTCGTCGCGTTCCTGGCGCCCTTTTGTCGTAGGAGGAGGACATCGTGTTCTGTGATTGTAGAGGTCAGCAAGCGGCCCCCTTTCCCTTTTTTTTTTCTTCCCTTCCGTCTTTGGATGACAAGAAATGCAGGCGCAAACATACCCTGGATGATTCTGGAGTAGCACCGGAGCCCGTTGACTTGTCTTGGCCTCGAGGCGAGACGGAGCCTCGTCCGCAGCGCTGTTCGGGAAAGCATTGCGAATGCAGGACGAGAGCTCTCTCGTTCAGGCCCTTTGTTCTCGATTGATGTCATTGTGCTGCACTACTGCCTTGTGTTTAAACGCATAATGTCTCCTGTGCATGCTTTTAAGCAATGGCCATCCTGTTACGTGCATCTATATCGATGTCGGCCATGAGCATCAAGTTCAAGGCTCACATTAATTCTATTAGCATGATGGAAACATTTCAACTGTCCCTCTCAAGTAAACGGTCTGTTGATGTTTTGTCACCCAACCATGATACTCGGTCTTCAACTCGCTCATCACTTGTCACACTGGCTCCCAAATTGTGCGTCGCTCGAAAAGAATGTCTTCAAAGATCGGGGTATCTAATCATCACGGCGCGCCGGGATCCCGCGCCCCCACGTCATGTCGTCCGCTAAATCACGAAACAGACGCTCGCTAAGATGCCATCATGCGCCTCATTAGACCATTGTCCGTCATAAAACCTGCGGCCTCGAGCCGGCTCCCCTCCGCCAAAAAAAAAAAAGCCACTGGACCCCGCCAGCCCAGCAAGAACCAAAAATCGGGGGAGAAATCTTCGCGGCGCAGCCAGTTCCTTCGTCCCATCGCGCTGCAATTGTGCTCTCCATGACTATCCGCATACACTCCTATGAAAATCGCTCCAGAATAGAAAAGAATTAGAAAGAAAGGAAGTAATGCCGAGAACAGAATAGCTCGTTTCCATTGGCAAACCAGCCAGTGGTTATTCAGAAGGAACAAGAAATGGCGAGATATCCAGCCCAGATCCGATTACAGCCGTTGCCGGCTTGTACCCATGGTACGCATGTAGTTGGAAGAGTGACAGTAGGAAAGGAAAACCAACCGTCGGCACCGATGAGCCCATTCAAGGGATCGGCGACGGATTGGCTGTTGTTCTGTTTTTCCGGCCGTATGTACAGGTCACACGCCATGCCTCAGGTAAAATCCTTCTGGATCCTGAAGCAGCATTCGGGCTTGCGCCCTGCTGAGTCTCGTCGAAAGTCGAATCTTGTTAAGTTTTGTTGTCATGGTTGTTCCTGTGATCGTGAAAGTATCGTAGTGCCGTCTGCACGAGGTGCTGGCTCGTTGTTACATGATGATTCTGGGATACAGATAGTCCAGATCATGCAGGGGTAAAGATATGAAATTAAGAGAAAATGCCTAGATGCTAGCAACGCGACCCTTGCCGGGCACGCTGGCATAGCATACTAGGAGCTTGAGGCTTGTGCGCCACTCTTCACATTCCGAAAGGAGGGCGCGGTCGGCCCAGATGGTTTTGCGAGCGGTTGTACTGCCGACTGCGCTTTCGTAGCAGCGAGTATACCACCATCTGCCAACCTTGGCCACCATTTTGGTGATGTTCTCATCGGCAGCATCGCTCTTGTCGTTCATCATCTCAGCCAGGCTGCGTTGATCTTTGGGCTTCTTCGGCCCACTGGCAGGAGACTTCTTGCCATCATGCGCCCGAGCCACGACGCTCGCGACAGGCACGCCAACGTGGCACGTCTTAACGTCAGTAAAGCCCTGCTGGCCGAGAAGACGGAGCATAAGATCCGAGGACGAGCCTAAGCTTGTCTCCGGGGTCTTCTCGTGGATGCGCTCCTTGAGGTTTCTAACAGTTCGGCGCGCCCGGTTCCCCATGTTGTTGAGATCGAAGTCCAGCACCGAAAGCTCAATGTAGCCGCCGGGTTTCAGGACGCGGCGCGCCTCAGACATGATGTTGCGATAATGGGATTCGGGCCCTGCGGCCGGGAATCGGTAGACCACAGAAGTGAAGCTTTCAGCGCCAAAGGGAAACTTGTCAGCATGTGAGGTGTACTGAATCTGGTGATGATTGGGGGGACTGAGTGGAAATGTCGATGCGGCCTTGTGCTCGGTGGGCAACGGTGCTCGTGGAGACATGTTGAAGAAGGTAGCGGCAGGGTATGTCTCGGCAGCGTAGAACGACCAGTCGTCGTTGCCCAGGCCATCAATCACAAGGATCGATGGTCGCTTGAGTGATCCAACTTCCGGCACAAGTTCATCCCTGACAGGACTGAAAAGAACATGTCCAAAAGACAACCACTTGCTCACCGTCATGGACCCAACACGAAGATTGACCTGCGACAGGGGGGATTCATCCTCGGAGGACTTGCAACTACTGCCGGTTGATTTACGAGACAGGTCGCTATTCCTCTGTTGTGAGGTCAGGGAGGGCCTGCGACTTCCTTCACCACTGCGACGGAGAGCAGTATCCGAGGCTGCGAGAGGCTGGGGTGGTGTCTCCTCGGGCTTGGGGGCGAAGGCAGCCTTGATTCGTTCTGTCATGTCGGCACTGTAAACACTCGACTCAACGGCGAACCTGTCGGCCTCCTCCGTTACAGACCGAATGCTTTTGGCAGAAGGCAGTGCAAGAGTAGGAGATTCGAGAATCTGGCTGTTCTTCTTCAGAAGCTTGATTTCCCTGGGAGCGTAGTTTTCGAGGTGAAAGGGGACACCCTTGGATGAAGTTGCAGAGGGGGGGACGTCTCCAAGAAGGTCGTTGTACTCGTCCCAGATGTCATCTTCGCCGAGGCCGGTTGTGTCGGGCACAGCAATTGCCGTGGCGGCCATGACATACGTGCCGGAACAGCTAGAACCTGTGCTATCACGTTGTTGATACTTCTTGTTGGGCGAAAACTTAAGGAACTCGTGACCGATCTGAATCATCTCTGGTGGCGAGTCTCGGCTCGTATGGCCAGGTGCGGAGTCGGTGCTGGTAGTCGTGGATACCTCATGAGACAGCTCTGGTGTCGAGGTGTTGGGGGGGCTTGGGCCTTTGGCAATCGAGCTGAGGTCGACAAAGGTAGCATGAGGTTGCTCCTGGTAGCTGACACGCTTGAAGGGTCGAGAAAAACTTCGTGGCGAGGGAGGCTCGGGCCTGGTGTTGATCACCCTTGGTATTCTACCCACTTGTGGTAGACGACTAGGGCGTGCTGGCGTGAACCTCGCAGCCAGGACGTCTTGTTGAGAGAATGTCACATCTTGAGGTTTGTCGGTGAACTTTTTATCGACGCGCCGGATCTGTAGTGCTGACGCTTGCGGCGGCAAGGGGTCTGTTGGATATCGTTTCCTAGTTGCCACCATTGGGGGGGTGGGGACATTGGTAAGATCATCAAACACATGCGCATCGCGGAGAACGTCCTCCACTGTGGGAACACCTTCCTCTTGCTCAGATCCGTCCATCATAAAGTAGAAGGCCTCTGGCTTCTGTTGGACGACCTTGACTGTGGCCGCGACAGGTTCGGGCTCCTTCTTCTCCGAGGTCTTGTGTGAGCGGCTGAAAATGTTCCATTTTCTCGGAGATCTTGCCCGCTTGATGAGTTTCGA